AAGGACCTGAGGTCAAGGGACCTGAGGTCAGGAAGGTGTCTAGCCTCAGGCAAACTGCCTCTTTGACCTTCCTTCAAGTTTCCTCTATCAGTCTGCCCATCTTTCTGGTCTGTTTTATTCTGGCTCACTCTACCCCCTTGAGTCTTGATATATTTATCAAGCACCTACTGTGTGCCTATAGGTACTTATAGGCACTGCCCCCAACTTTATGGAGTTAATGCCATCCATCACTCCTTAACACCTAGAGCTATTCCACACTAGTAAGATGGGATAGGAAGGAGGTCAAGAGGGTTGACCAACCACCCCTTTCTTCACGCTCACCCTTTCTCCTTCTATCACCTTTCCTAGACCTTTTTGCTGGAACCACCTCTAGCTGAAAGGGAAACCAATCAGAGTTAATTGTTAAACCTAACAGTTGGTGAGAGTTCCACCCTGCCGGTGAGTAGGAGGGGGCTGAGTGCTAGCAATGATCCTCAGAGAGGGGCGGAGCCACCCAGGTTTTTCTGGCCTGTACCTGCCACCTTTTCCCCACTCTGGAATGTGCCTCCAGGGCCTGCTCCTCCTCTCTTCCCAGGGGGCAGGCTGCCTCTTGGACCCTTGCCCTTGACTCCAACTGAAGTGACCCTGGGAGGTGAGTGCTGGCTCTAGCTCTAGTACAAGGGCCTCTGGGTGGGTGCCCTTGGGGTGCTGCATGGAAGGGCAAGGCACCACCCAGAGGGCTGGCAACCAGTGGACCTTTCTGGCTGCCCCCTGCTGGGTAGGGGTAGGCGTGGGATTGAGGATGGCACCCTGTACACAGACCATGGGTTTCCTGTTCTGGGATGTCCTCTGCTACTAGATGGGAGGGGGTCCCTGAAGATAGTGGCAAATTCTTACTTCTTCTTCTAGAAGGCTAAACCCCAGACTTGGCTCTGCTAAGAATGAGGGACAGATCAGGTGTCCAAGTCTGGGAGGTCCAGGGTTAAACTGAGTGCTGTAGGAAGGTGACCTACCTCTCTGAATCATAGTGTCATCCTTTAAACAATGGATATACTGTGATCCCTTTGCTACCCTCTCTGTGAATATAATGGGCACCAGAGTTAGATATTAATGTATTAATGTTAGACTGTAGAGGTTTTTTGAGCGAGTACGTAACATTCTATTCAGATTCAACTTTATCTTGGGAGGCCTAACTCTGATTTAAGGCCAATTCCCCCGTTCACCACCCCCACCCCCCCACCCCCCTCCCCGCCCAAAGACTTGATTGTCTAGAGCTACACTGACTCATACAAGAGCCACTAGCCACATGAGGCTATTAATCCTTGAAATATAGCTAGTGCCACTGAGGAACTGTATTTACTTATCTGAATTAAGTTAAAAAGAATTTTCTGTTTAGTTATTGAAAAAGTCTATAAATGTTTGGGAACTTAGATTCATGAATATATGTTTTCAGCTGTAAACGCTAAGAGAATCTAAATATCAGATAAAAATTTTGAGTCGAGGGCCTCCCCGGTGGCGCGGCGGTTGAGCACTGGGTTGCGAAGCTGCTGGCAGTCTTGGCAGCACTGGTTCAATCCCCGGCCACCGCGCGAGTGTCCCACATGGTGCGCAGACCTCTCTTGCCGCCGGCTGCTCCCCTTAGCAGTGTACTTCATCAGTCTGCCTGCTCTGCTCTCCCCTCTGGCTCTGGTTAATTCTCTCACCCTCCTGTGCTTCTGACTGTACCCAGTGCTTGTATGTATAAATAAATAAATGAATAAGTGAATGAGTGAATGAATAAATAAATAAATAAATTATCTTTAAAAAAATTTTTTTAGTCGAAATTGAGATGTGCTTGAAGTGTAAGATACACATCAGATTTAGAAGACTTAGTATGGAACAAAAGAATGTAAAATATCTCAGTAATATTTTTTATATTGATTACATGTTGTGATGGTTACTTTTTAAAATGTGGCTATTGGAAAAATTTTAATTATATGTGGTTTGCATTATATTCCTATTGGACAGCACTATTTTAGCCAGAATGTTGAGTCAGACACATTCGAATAATAATATGAGACTAAAGACTGTATTTAGGGGAGGTGAAGGTCAGATATAGCCCACTCACCATCCCCTTATATCTGGGCCACCACCCATGATGGAATCCAGGCCACCACCCTGGATTACCCCATAGTCTCAAGGAGAAGATCAGGACTTCTGAGGTGAGACAAAGAACCTATATCTGGATGGCCATGGCATTCACTTGTTCTGTATGTGTGACCTTGGGCAAGTCACTTGGCTTTGCTGATCTTAGTCTGTCATCTGTAAATCTAGACTAATGATGGAATTTGCCTTATTGGTGAAGCAGGTATTTATGGTGGCTGCTGCTACTGTTAGTTGCTACTGCTGGTGCCTCTGTCAGCTTGGATGCAGTTACTACATTTGTCTGAATGGGACATGGGCCAGAGGGAAAGGAGAAGTTAAAAGAATTTGAGGATGGGAGTCAGAATGAGGACTGGGGGATGCTCTGTTCAATACCTCAGGGGTTTACTTCCCTCAGGAGAGCTTCTTGGCTTTTCCAGTTCTGTGGGTGGCCAGGCAGGGACATGTGCCCATTTTACACATGAAGAAGCAGAGGCAAAGAAGTGACTGGCCAGAACAGGAATATTGGACTTCCCACCCCTATTGTGATAATGTTCCAGCCAGAATTAAGAAGCCATCTTTGGGGTTGGGGGAGCAGGGCTTAACCAGGAGTGTGGAGCTTTGTAAAGGATGGCTACTATTAATCTGTGACTGGAAGGGACCTTGATACTTATCTGAAAAACCATCTCATTTTTGAGTTGACACAGACCTGAGTGTGTGTGTACATGTGTGAGTGATCTGCTTAGGATCATACATCAAGTTGGTGGCCAAGTGGGAACTGTCTGTTTATTTAGATCCAGTCCTCGCCCAACCCCAGCTGTATGGATGGCCCTGCTCCTCAGCCACCCTCCTCCAGCCCAGTCCCCAGAGAGGGCTTCTGAGAAAGAGGCTTTTGTTTTACCAGCTCCTTCTGGTTTCCTTTCCAGGTAGTTTCATCCCCCTCCCCCTCCATCTGCTCAGATTTGCATTTGTCCCTGTTCCAGGTTTAAAGGGCCCTGAAATCTGAAGCTCCTCCACATACTCTACTTTCTGCTTATCCATGGCATGGAGGGGAGACTGTAGGCTTTTTCATCAAGGAGGTCTGGGTTCAAATCCCTCTTCTACTGTTAGAAACTTCAGATTTCAAGGCCCTTTTCCTCTGTGACCTGAGTGAAGTCACTTGTAATGTTTTAGTCTCAACTCCTCACCCGAAAAGCAGGAACCAAAATGGTGTGAATGTATACCCCAGTCATGAGGGACCTAGGCTCTGGGGCTCAGCTGTACTGATTCCCTATAGTGTTCTTCAGCGAGTCATTCACTTTTTGGGTCTCAGCTTCCACCTCTGTCAATGAATGCTGCTTCCTCTGGGATGGTTGTGATAAGGCCTGGGTCAAGCTCTCTACATGCATCATTTCATTTACTCCTCCCATTAGCTCTGGAAGCTATTGGAAAATCCTCCTATTTTCAAAATGAGGAAATTGAGGCAAAGAGAAACAAAGTGATTTTCCCTAGGCCATATAATTAGAGAGTGGGGAAGGCAGAATTCAAACCAGTTTCCTGTCACTGCAGAGCCCAAGCTCATAACCACTGTACCACATATCCATCCAGACATGTTTGCCAACTGGCCTCCCAGGTGAGTCTGGAGAGCTTGGCTCTGCACTAGAAAAGCTTCCTGGTGGTGAGCAGGACCTGCAGTGTCCTGGAGGCCAGAGCTGGGGCAGAGAAGGTGTTCAGGAGCACAGCTTCTGCTCCTGCTGCTCCACCCCCAAGTGAGTTTCCCATTTGCCTGTTCTTGTGTTCTCTGTGAAGTGGAAATGCATCCCAGCTGGAGATCCAAAGTTCTGAGTGTGAGTTCAAGGGACCTGGGGCTTCTCTCTTCAACAGTCCTGTCCCATTTTGTGTTTAAGACTGGGCTCACAGATTAGGCTTAAAGGTGATTGAAAAGAGGCTTAAATACTCTGTGAATGACTTATTCCAGAAGAGAGCATTAATGCTTAAAAAAAAACCCTAGGGATCACTGAGTCTGACCATATCTATCTTACAGATAGGGAGGCTGAGGCAAGGATAGACCAGGTTGGGGGAGTAATAATCATGTTTTTTCCTGGGTGCTAGAGACATGTTACTGACATAGAAAGAACCACCTGAGGGGTGGGTAAGTAGACCCATGCTCTCCCTCACTCCCCATAATCTACTTCATCCCAAGTTGTGTGCATACCACTTCTTAAAGATCTCTTAAATTCATTCATTTCATTCTAGTTTTATGGCTACTACCCAGTCTCCATCCTTGTTTTATTTTTCAAGATTTATTTTATTTATTTATACATACAAGAACTGGGGTCTAGGCCAGAGGTGTGGGGGTGAGAGAATTCACCAGAGACAGAGTGGGGAGCAGAACAGGCAGATCTACAGAAATATACTCCTGAGGGGAGAAGCCGGTTAGACGGATTGGTCTGCTATGCCATGTGGGTTAGCTCCCTGGCAGGGGACTGAACTCATGCTGTGGCTAGTTTAATAGCCCTGAGACTTTAACCCCTGTGCCACCAGGGAGTCTTCTCCACCTTTGTTTTATGCCCCCTGGGAAGCCAAATAGCCTCCTAAATCACACACCAAAAGCAACTCTGGCCCCTTTCTAGTTCATTTTCCACCCTACAAATCAATGATTTCTCATTGTTCTTAGAAACCACACCAAGCTCCTTACCTTGGCCTCCCAGGCCCTTCCTGACTGGCCCCTGCTGACCACTTCAGATTCACATTGTTGCTTTCCTTTTTGTGCTCTGTGTAGTCACACAGGCCTTTCGGTTTAACAGGTTTAGCCACTTCCCCAAGGTTCCTCAGAGTCAAATGCCAACTTCTCAATTTCCAGCTCCATGCTGGGTCCATGAACTCAGTTTAGAGGAGCTAACACTGTTTCCTCCTTCTAGGTACCTGACTGACGTCCTTACCCCCAAGGAACTGGTGTCAACAGAGGAGGGGTGAGTGTTACAAAGGCACAAATTCTCCTTCTGTTCAAGTTGGACACACTGGGCTTTCAGGCTCTCTCTATTGATATATTTTACTGCTGCAAAGGTGTGAGGTTTTGTCAGGATCACAGATTTCTGATGAGCTTGAAAAAGGGGTGTGTCACTGACATTTTGGCTTATTTCGAAGTAGGGGCTGAAATGCATCATTGTTGGGCACCTCTGAGTTTAGCAGCCTGCTCTGCCTATATTGCTGATTGATGCCACCATGGCTGGTGACAGGTCTTGGACAAGGTCTTGGACCTTGAAGTCTATCCACTGACGCTGTAGCTCTTGCTTCACCTCTCCCAGGTTGTAGATTAGGTTCAGGTGACTACGGTGTTTTCATTCTGTCATGGCCACTGGTTACTAAGTGACCTCAGGTTGCTCCCTGCCTTTCTGTTGACCTCAGGGTCAATATATACTTTTTCAGGGGCAGAAGGTGGGCGAAGGCAGGTTCAGAACAAATTAGTTGTTTTCAAACTTTCCATGAGGGAAATCCTCTTTTCAAATGAACCCAGAAGAACGTCAGTGTGCAAAACAACTAAAAGGGCTGCAGCTGTGCTTGAAGTTGGGCTGGCCTGGAGGGCTCTAACTGGCTAGTTCCCAGCACCCAGATAATGACCTGGAACCCCTCCTTGGCTTTGTGCAAGGACTAGTAAATCACTGGTCCAGGGCATGTCGAAGCTCCTTTCCAATTTGGAGGTGAGGGCATAGAGTGGGAATTCAGCCAACTGGGAAATTATGAAGTAATATGCAAATGTAATTGTGGGGTTATTAGTAAGACACAACTGTCAGGTTGTGATGTCATTCTAGAATCCTCTGCTTTTAACTTTTGATTATATGTGTGGGACCTCTGTATCTGTAGGTTAAACTCTCGTGTGTGTGTGTGTGTGTGTGTCTGTGTGTGTGTCTGTGTGTGTGTGTTTGTGTAGAATGAGAGAGAGAGAGAGAAAGAAAGGAGGGGGAAGAGGGAAGAGAGCTTGCACACAGGGGCTATGGAGAGGACCTGAGCCAGCTTGAGGCAGGTAGAATAAATGACAGAGCCAGGAATGTGTTACTACTTCTGCGGGTGGTGGGGGTAGGAGGTGACTTTAGCTTTAGTTAAAAGGAGTGATTTGGCTCCTTCCTGCCAGTGCATGGGCCCCACGGAGATCTCTGGGCAGGAAGCACTGGAAACAAGGAATCCTCTGTCCACAGCCACAGCACAGCCAGGACAGAGGAGTTGGATTAGGAGTTCCTGGGAGGGGGCCTGCCCAGTCTTTCCCTGACATTTGTGTAAATGGGTGGGGAGAAAGGGGAGCTAAGTTTTGTGTGCATGGGTGGGGGTAGGGAGGCATGATAAGAGGAGGTAAAGGTTAGTTCTTACATTTTTTGCACAAGTTCTTTAAGCTGGAAGCCCTCCAAGTATTCAGGCTCAGAGGTAAGCGATTCTACAGGGGTCAGAACTGAGTAAGCAGAGATTGCAGATCATCAATATACAGAAGAGGCAGGAAATGTGAGTGATCATAGATTCTCATGGGCAGCCTGGCTCAGTAGAAGTCATTTGGCTTGCAAGTCCAGAGTCCCACATTCAAGTCCTTGCATCGACGCTGACTTATTCTGTGGCCTTGGCCTTATCACTTTCTCTTTCTGGGCCTCAGATTCACCCTTTGTAGAATGGGGATGGACACATCAGCCCTGGCTACTTGTTGTGTTCTTCTGCATGTCAGTTAGAACAGGGTATTTCAGATCTCTTGGGACAGCAGAATCCCAATATATAAGCATTTCTAACAGAACTGATGTGTTTGATTGGCTGCAGTTCATGAAAAAATCTTGCTGCTCTTTGTTCGGTGGATATTTCTGGAGGTAACTGCAGATTCCAGGGCTCCAGGAAGCAATGTGTAAAGACCATTTGGTCAAGATGGGTCTTGAGAATATGCTTTGTAGATTGTCCCTTGCAGCCCAGCAATGGAGATTGTGCTGGAATGCTCAGGTGAAGCCCTGCCCATGGCCAGCACAGATGTCTTAGGACCTGAAGGATTGAGCATTGCTTTTTCAGCAGCAAGTGGCAAAAACTCAACTTAAAGTGGCTGAAACCAGAAAAAGACTTTAGTGGATCCTGGCGTACTTATGTGATAGAAGGTTGAGGAATCAGATTAACTCTCTATCTCTCTCCTATCACTGCCTGTATTTTCTCTTTGCCCTTATTGATAACTGGCTGTCCACTGTCCTAGCTTAGCAACCCAAACAGAAAGAGGGAGTGATTTTTCTTTTGGGATTCATAACTCAATCCAAGGGAAGGTTAATCATTTTTGCTGAGGAACAGGGATATTTTGAGTGACTAGGCCTGGGTCATATGCCCACCCATGTGGCAAAAGGGGGAGCAGGGCTATCACCAGAAGAAGGGGGAGTGTGGAGGGCAGCTGGGCAGACAGAACCATGAGAGCACACTAGCACGTTAGTGAAGACCCTGGTTATGGAGAAGCTCATAGTCCTGTAAGGGGCCATAACTTCCCTTTTGTCTTACATGATAGTATTATTATATTATATATGTCATATATTTTGTATATTCCCTTTTATTTTGTACATATGTATGTATGTATATATATATATGTATATGTGTGTGTGTGTGTATTATTCTCCTGGTAATGGAGAAACAAATGTGAACAATGATAATTAGTAGGTAATGTTTATTGAATTATGTTGAGCATGTGTTATTTCAATTAAACCTCTTGACAATCCTTTGGGTAGGTAGTATTATTATCCCTAGATTATAGATGGGGAAACCAAGGCAAAGTGGAGGTCACAGATAGAGTAGAAGGAGGAGCTGGGGTTCAAGCCCAAGGAGTCTGGCTTCAGAGCCCATGCTCTGTTCGCTATGTCTGATTTCTCTGGTCAATAGTTCAAGTGACTGTCCTACTTCTGTTTGCAGGCTGGTCTGTAACACGGAGCTTAATACCTGCAGAGGCAGTGCAGGCCCAGATTACATTGCTCTGCCTGTTGGAATGGGCCTCCTTATGTTGCACGCAGATCTGCCTCCCATTAAATTCATCTATCCAGTGTGTGACTCTAGGGTTGGTGTTTCAGGAGATGTAAAGAAAAAGTACCCATGAACCTGCCTGAAAGTTCTCCATAACAAACACATTGTGTTACTGAGCTCTCACTTTGTGCCAGACTCCATGTTGAGCATTATCTCATTTAATTGCAACAACTCTATGGAGTAGGTGCTTAGTTACCAGAGGAAACAAAGGCCCCGAGAGGGTAGGTGACTTCCACAGGGCCAGATGGCCAATAAATGGCAAAGTTCATGCTTGAGTTCAGGTCTGCTTGTTTCTGGAGCCTGTACTAGTAACCCTGCAGTCACTTGTGTCCCCCAGTGGGAAATAAAGGTGTGGGTATGGCTGAGACACAGTGAATGATACAAATTGCCACAGTAGAGGGTCAGGGACAGGGAAAGAGCAATGAGTGTTCAGAGGAAGGAGCTCAGGGAAAGAGGAACAGGTTGGGGCAGAGCAGTCAAAAGGTACTTCCTGGAGGAGGAGACATTTGATAGAGGCTGAGGCCTTAAAGGGGGCTAGATTTGGACATTCCATTCAGAAAGGCTCTTCAGGAGGAGGGAGCTACCTGAGAAAAGGCACAGAAGGGAGTAATTCAATTTGTCCAGAACTGAAGAACTAGGTTGGGGTATGGGGAGGGTGGCTAGCTGTCTTTCAGACTTTACCAAAGGATCACCCCAACTTCCATCCTATTCTCTTCAAAGATGTAAAGTGGCACACAGGTGCCCAGTTCCTTCCACTTTCTGCCCAGATGGGAGGAGGACAGACCTTTGCTGACTGGCGGACAAAGACACCTGGACACCAATATGCCTCAGTTCTTCAATCACTTCCTGCAGACAGCATAGCGTTCTGGGAAGCAGAGTAACTTCTGGCAGCCTTGGCGAGTGACAGGATGCTCCATCCCTTTTCTGGGCAGCAGGCTGAAGAATGTGTCTCTAATCCATGAAGGACCCCTTTCATTAGCCCCTTTCTCCTCCACACAAAGCTGATCTCATCTATTTTATCAGAAGATGGATGATGCCCTTGGAGTCCGGCCTCTATCCTGAAAGTGACTTCAGATTTTTCTTCAAACAACTCAGGTGGGAAATTGGGGGAAGAGTATGATGTTAGCTCCAGGTGCCTCCTTGGCTTCAAAGGATGGAAGATCAGCAGTCATATAGATTGAACTGGGCTCACAGTGTGTGTTGATGCTTATCATTTCACTTTACAGATGAGGAAGCTGAGGCTCAGAGGAGGAAAATGACACCAGTGCACTTGTCACATGAAAGGCGGCTATGTGATGGTCTTTTGCAAGAGGGCTATAAATGTGGGTAACTCAACAGGGAGAACACCCCTTCTTCCCCTGCTCTAGCCCACTGATTTGTCCTCCTTAGCAGAGATCTGAGATGCCAACTCTAGCTACTCCACTGCTCTCAGTCTCTCCTCATATATATACAGATCATCCACCCCTGACTTCTGCTGGCCTGAGAGCCAGAGGGGCTGTTTCTGGTGTGCCCAGTCTTCACAAATGTCACCCAGACAAGGCCCAGATATCCAGTGTGCCTCCATGGTTCCTATTGCCTGTGGGGGTCCCTGGGTTTCTCCAACCCCCTACAAGGGATTGCACTGTTTCTGTAGGAGGAAAAAAGGTGCAGAAGAGCAGGGAAACTCTTTCATTAAGGGGTTTCTTCGTGTCCATGACCCTTATCACCTGGCTTACAACTGGGCTAGAATCAAAGTACCTTATATTTTTACTACGAAGGGCTTTTCTGTTCATTATCTCATCTGATTTTTCCCATAATCCTGGAAAGATAAGATAGGGCGGATAAAATGACCCTCATCTTATGGATGGGTTAATTGTGAATCAGAGAAGGTAAGTGTCTTCTGTTAAGGTCACACAGCTGGGAGTAGCAGAGCAGATCTAGGAGATAGAAGCCAGTGTCCAGGAATCCTGATCTCCCTAATGCTTGGTACTGACAGCAATTGGGACAGCCTTTGGGATTCCCTCTTTGGTCCAGATGAGTATGTGGTGATCAAGTCCCCAGTTCAAGTCTTCCCAAGCTTTCTGAGTCTTGCAAAAAAAGTTTCATCTGCTACTTCTAAATCTGAAGGTTCCCCAAGCCAACCCCAATCTACTGCTCTTGCCAGTCTACCAACAAGGTAGATGAGACTAGCCATTTGTTGGGGAGGGTCCCTCTGTGGGATAATGGAGGCATGGGTTTCAACTGGCTGCCCAGGGAGCAGATGGGGAAACTGAGGCCAGAGTCAGCATAGTCACTGCGTTCAGGGTGGCTGGAGAGACAAGGCTGGAAAAAGGCTTGGACTTGGGTGGGGCTGAGGTGAACCCTTTCCCAGAAAATCCACCACTTTGTTTCACTAAGTGGAACACAGTGTTCAGTGAGTGGTTACATTTTGTTTCACTTCTGTCACTGAGAAATTCTTAGGGATACTCTTTTCCCAGAAAAGGGATCTCTGGGCACAAAGCCGGGAGAAGCCCTGGGTTGCAAAGGAGCTTTGGGGGCTAGCTCAGTGTTTGCAAAGAATGACTGGGAATCTGGAATTATATACTGGCAATGGTTGCACAACTGTGTGAATACAGTGTGGGCATGTTCTTTACCTCCAGACCTCCCTGGAATTCTGGGCAGCAGGACTAGAGGTGCCGAGACTGGTCTCTTAGGCCTCATGTGGGCCTGAGGAAGCAGTGTTGGCCTCTAGAACTTGTTGTTTACCAAAGTGAGATTTCCTATTTGGTCCGTGGAAAACTCTGATGCAGACTAGAAGAGGAATTGCCATTAGTTGCCAATTGTAACCAGCCCTGGATTCACAGAGGGGAGTCACAGTGCAGTGGGACACCATTATAAAGCTAGAATAGCGAAAGCTTTCTTCATAAGTGTTCCTGAGAAGGTCTCAGGGAAGCTCTGCGTAAATGACTTGGGCAGCTTCCTTTTCCTTTCTGGGCCTCAGTTTTCCCTTCTGGATCCACTCTCTACAGTCTTTTGTATTCCTAAAATCCTGCAAGCAATGACTTGAGATGCAGGATTGCCAAGTCTTGGGGCCCAGTTGCCTCATTTGTCAGACAGGGCTGACAAAATCAGCTGGTGCAAGGGTTGCCTGTCTCAAGGGTTGCCACTGCAAGGGTCATGAATTGACCAAGTTACTTCAGGGCTACCCCAGGCTTTGGCAAAGCGGGAAGTCACTTTAACAAGGTGACATTAAAAAAAAAGAAGCTGGGGCCTCCCCGGTGGCGCAGCGGTTGAGCGCTGGGTTGCGAGGCTGCCCGCCGCCTCTGCAGCGCCGGTTTGATCCCCGGCTGCTCCCCGGCCACGGAGGAGGGTCCCATATGGCGCGCAGACCTCTCCTGCTGCCGGCTGCTCCCCTCAGCAGTGTGCCTCGGTCCTTCTGCCTGCTCTGCTCCCCCTTTGGCTCTGGTGAGTTCTCTCACCCTCCCACGCTTCTGACTGTGCCCAGTGCTTGTATAAATAATAAATAAATCTTTAAAAAAAAAAAAGAAGCTGGAAAAAGGAGTCTGAACACCAGACTCAGACAGACTTGGGTGCAGATCCCTGCTCCACCACTTACTGTGAGAATTTGAATGAGATACTTCGTTTCTCTCTGCCTCCGTTTTACAATAGGTAAAATGGAGACAACAATAGTTTTTATTTCAGAGGTTATGGTGCAGATGAGAAAATGCAGGTAACCGGCCTGGCACACACACAATTAAATGCTTAGTAATTGGTAGGTGTTACTCTGCTATTGATAACCCCAACACTGTAACCGACATGGAAGATTGGGGTTCTGTGGGGCCCAGCCAGGCTAGTGATGCAGTGCTATTGTTATTAACAGTCTTATCTGTTCAGCACTTAACAGCATACAACACATGTTCATATCCATCACTATATGTGGCCTGCAGATTAGCCCTAAGGAAGGCAGGGAGGTGGTCACTATCCATTTTACAAATAGGGTCATGAAATTTAAGGGGGGAGGAGTGGCTTATCCATGATTTCCACTCAGGTCTTCTTGCTTTGGAAGCTCAACTCCTGGCCCAGGGTGCTGTGGGTTCAGCCTCTGAGTCTGGCAGCACTGACAGTGGGGGAGGTTGTTACTCACTCTGATTTTCACTCCGTAAGTTTTGGAGAGTGAACAAGTGACTGAATGAAGGACAGAGCGATGGTCTCAGTGGCCTTGCCAAGCCGCAGAACCCAGGGTCAAAGTCCATACATTCAGGGTGATTGGGGGCAACCTATCTCTCACATTTGGCCCAGGATTTCTGATGGTCTGAGCCAGCAGTGTCCCTGCTTGTTCAGTGTAGCTGGTTGAGTCCTGAGCCCTCTATTTCACTCTTCCATGTCCTGCTCCCTTGTCCCCATCCCCATGCTTGGGCCTAGAAGGGTATTCTGCCTCCAGTTATTCCTCTACTGAATCTTGATTTAGTTGACCCATTCTTACTGAGTTCTAGCCATCTTCAAGGGCTTGTCTCCTGTGTTAAGGTACTCAAAATGATTGTGTTGAACAGAGAACTTCCTACTGGTCTCTGGCAGTTCCTAAGTAGTGATGAGGAAGGTAGTGTCTCTTGGTTCCTCTGTGAGCATGATTTTGAATTTGGATAAAAATCCCTCTGCTGTGGGAAGCGACATGTGCTGGGAGAGCTGGACTGGGAGTTGGACCTGGGTGGTGATCCCTTTCCATGGCCTTGCTGTGTGATCTTAGCCTGGTCCTTGCCTCTCTCTGGGCTTCCTCCTCCCTGTGTACCAAAGGAGGGGATTGGTTGAGATATGAGAATAGTCCCTGACTTTTGTAAGGCACCTACCTGGCCCATGTGTCTCAAGATCCCAGAGACCAGGCTGATGTCAAGGTCCCTTCCTGGCTAGCATTTGACTGCTGAGTCTTGCAGGCCATGGGGTTGGTTTCTGAACTGGGCTCTGAGCACCAGGAAAAAGTTGGTAGCATCATTGTCTTCCTTATAGTCTCGCCTGAGAAGCCTCCTGCTGGCTTACAGGCCTGACTGGCCCTAGTGCTGATGGGACAGGTTCCAGCACAGACTTTCCTGACACAGAAGCCCACCCTGTCCAAAAGAGACCTTGAAATAGTTAAGTGTCATCTTTGGGCAGGAGGTGGTGAGGGGTAGGATGGAAGCAGGGTGAAAGCAAGCTTCAAAGCCCCCCAAAACTAAGGAGCTGACCACAGAAAGGGTGGTGAGATGATGACCAAGAAGGACAGGTTTTCTTTCCCAAACCTATGTGAGGTGTCACAGAGCTTTATGGGAGCATAGCTCTCCAGATTTCTCCCCCCACAATTACATCTTGTATTCAGCCATTTCCTAAGTCTTGGTCACTGGTATGGGGGGAGGGCAAAGGGTTGAGCAGGTGTGTACTTGGCAAGGAGTTGCTGGGACTTCATCTCAGCTGTGGCTGGGAAGGGAGATGTGTCCATGAGCCATTTGGGTCACATTTCCTGCCTCTTGTCATTTCCCAGTTAAGTGCCTGGGTCTCTCGCCCTTGTGGCACTGACATGTTGAGTATCTAGAGGAGGGAGGAACACAGAGTAGGTCTTGAGCTGGATGGGGGCAGGAGGCCTGGGGAGGTCTGGCTATGCCTGACTCAGTGATGGAGCAGTTCAGCAGTGAGCACCCAGCCTGGTCTGAGGCAGTGCTATGTCACCTGACTGCAGGTCAAGGAGGCGCCTCTCTGTGTCCTCCCTGCACCCCAGCTCTTGGTGTCTGCAGCCTGCCTGTACCTCTAGCTCTGCCACCTACACTCCTGCTGCTCTGGTCTCTGCCACTTGGTTCTGGCACGGAGACTGGTTTGGCAGGTTTTGCCACGCCCATAAGCAGTAGAGGGCTGGGAGCTGGACTGAGCAGGCCTGAGGAGACACGCTGCCTTGCCCTTGCCTCCCCACACCCCCAGTCCCAGCCTCGCTTCTGCCCGGTTTACCACTTTTCTAAGGATGGCTGCTTGGAGTGCTGGAAAGCAGAAGCCATTCAACTCCTAGTCCTCACTCTGCCACTTACTCAGTGTGTGACCTTGAAGAATCCCTTTTATACAGTGGGGCTTTGGGGTCCGTAATCCTCAGAGCCACATTCTGATTCTAGTTAGAGCTCTGCTGCTTTCTCTCACTCAAGGGCAAGTCACAGAATACCCAGTGTACCCAAAGGGTTCCATTCAAGGGAAGGAGGGACAGAGGAAAGGTCCCTCCTGCATGTCACCATGTGACACAAGGCAAAAGTACATCTTCTCACTGGACCACATTTAACAGTAAAGATCACGTATCCATCCTCAGGAAGTTTAAGCTCTGACAATGTATAGATCAGAACAAAGGATAGGAGTGTGC